AAAATTGTGGGGACTCGAACTCAATTGGTGAAAAATGTCGTCCCTCCATGAGGGATCAAATTCTTTCAAACTTCAAATCATTAGTGTCTTCTAGAACCCAAGTGGTGAAAGATTCCTTATTGCATAAACATGCAAAACAACAAGCATATATAAATCTTATCATATAGAAAACTAAGCGTAACAAAGTGTTCCCAAAACATTTAATGCGATATCATTTAAAGTCTTCTTAGTGGTCTGATTGGTAATCTAAAATAGTACAAATTTTTATCGGTAAGCTGGAACGGTAAGCGGTTAGAACATAATACAAAACTGTAAAAAATAGTTATAAGAAAAAGGAAAAATTACCAACACTACCACTTATTCTAAAATTTCTTTTAAAATCTACCACAATCTCAAAACCCTTTTAAAATCTACCACAATCTCAAAATTTTTTTAAAACCTTTTTCGGTTTAAGATCGTCGACGATTCTTCTTGAGATCGACGGTCACCTCAGATCTGAGATCTGGCTAGTGGGGTTTGGTGGGCTTGTTAGGGGCTCGGGCTTTCGGGTTGGGCTTGCGATCTGGGTCGTTTATTGGGCATGTGATGGGCCTCAGTTCTGGCTCGCGGTTTTGACCTACTTTTACTTGTCAGGTTTGTTCTGCTTATCCTTGCTCTGCTTTAGTAGGTTCTTTATTCCGTAAGTATTAGTAGTTGTATTAGTGGTGTTTTTGATCCTTAGCCGTATGGATGGTCATAAATCATATGGTTGTTTAGTTGTCATTTTCTATGTGGTGTTGGCGAGTGTGTTTTGGGTGTCGACTGGTTATAGCTATGAGGAATGGTGTAAGTGGACTTTAAGTCAATAGCGGGATTTTGTCTTTTGAGCTTCTCTGGAGGTTAGGGTCATCGGGGGTCTCGGCTCCGGATATCTAGTGATACCTCGAAGTTTCAAAGGTTTTCTCGGCTCCGACTTGATATGTCTTCTTTGCCATGGACTTGTATTTTTGAGGACGAATAAAGCTTATGAAGGTGTGGCGATGATGAAGATGTTCTTGGGGCAGGTCTTCCCCGACCAACGGCCAAGGATCCTCGCTCTCCGTCGTTCTGAATAATTCTTCTTGCGGCGGTGCATATCAACAGCTTTCCCTCACTGATATTGGATTGAGTACCAACGAAGAAACTCCGGAGTGGTTTGGATCTTTTTCCTGTTGTGATGACTCTTCTTACTTTCGGTTTTTTAATGTTTTAGCCTTCCAAGCTTTTGTTTTTGTCTCGGAATTAAGTCATGGGTAAGCGTTTGATCAGTCGTTTGATTAGTGGTTTGAATTGTGGGTTTGAGTAGTTGACTCTCCCGGTTTGGGATTGAGTTTTATCGTTTGTACTTCTGTTTGAGGTTATCAATAATAATTCACTAGATAGAAAAAAAATCTACCACATTTCTTTCTTCTCAACACCAAAAGACACTTTTACCCTTATATTTTTCTCTTTTTTTCATTAATGACATTTTTTCCTCTATTTCCTCTCTCTTTCACCTCCCTCACATTGTTCTATCTCACTTTCATTATCCTCACCTTCTTTCTTTCTCACAGTCATCTTCCCATCTCTCTTTCTCTCCAATGAAAGGGAAGAAAATAAGGTGGTGTATGGTGGCGGGGGA